ATAAATAGTTCAGGTAATAGTATTTTTTAAATAGTATTAAACAGCCAATCAAAATAAAAGCGAATCATGATTCATTAAAGTAGCGATCTCGGCATTCGGAAAAAAAAAATTGGAGAGGGTTATCATGGCTTAGTACTTTTCTTTATATGTATGAATAACACACAAATATTTTTATTCACCAACATGGCTTAGTCTTTTCAAAGTCTTAGAATTCAAACTTTACTAAGAGCTTTGACCTTTATCAAGAGTTCGCCTTTCACTGAGAGTTTCGTCTTTCGTCAGGGGTTTCGTCTTTTGTCAGAGTTTCGTCAATTTCGTCAGGTTTGGGTTTCGTCTTTCGTATTTTTTCAAAACAACTATAGTCTGGATTTATAACGCGAAGCAAGTGCCGCTTCGCGGCACGTGCTCGCATTATATCCAGACGATAATTAGTTATCGTCTACAACCTAACCAATAATAAGTACTTAACGATTGTTTTGTTACACCTGATCTTGAAATTTGATTGGTAAGACGATATATTCAAATATTAGACAAATTGCTAGGTGCGATAAATGAATTTACTCTTTTTTTTTGTAAGATACGTAGAAAATTTTTTCCTAATTTTGTCAATTATGATCGACGAAAACATGGCCAGAATTCTCAAGTGTCTGTACGACTACCAAAATTGTGATCTTATTATTAATTAATAATCATTTATTCTTAACTGCCAAAGAACAAGCTCCTCTTAAAAACAAAGACATCCGTTCAAAAAACATTACTTTATTTAATTACGCAAGCTACACGGCATGATTTGCTTGATGAATCAAAAATTATCTTCTTTGGATCAAATATAGAGCAATAAGCGATATATTTGTAAATACCGTTAAATGTCCTTTAATCACAATGATCTTACGAACAAGCACTAGACCTAGATATTTAAAGCTTGATGAATTCATTTATAATGAAATAATATTTGATCAACACCCTATGGAAGGTCGTTTCAGTGGTGATTCTGTATCTAAAGCAATAGATGCATTTGCAATGATTCTTTGCAACAATATTGGAAATCTGTCATAGCAAACTTGATTTTGAAAAGATGCTTTTTGTAAGAACATTTTAAATTATTTGAACCTTAGTGCCAATCAACTTGAAAAAATGAGTTAGCGAGAGTTCTTTACATTTCTTTGACTTATTTAAATCAATGGATTTAATAGACTTGGCCCTCAACAAGGAAAAACATTAATAGGTCTTTGTAAAAACACTTCCTTAAAGTCCTTAGACCTTTGTACAAATCAGATCAAGTTCGAAGAGGAAAGGACTTATTAGAAGCTCTTTGCAAAACTCTATGCTAACTCATTTAAATTTTGCCGCTAATCAACTTTGTTCTAGAGAAAAAGGTTCATTGCGAAAATATTAGCTTGACTTAGATCTTGCTAATAATCTAATTGGTTCCGTGAGAAGAAAAACGTTTGTAAGCGAAATACTACTCTGACATTTTACATCTTTTTAATAATCGTATTGAATAAGAAGAAGAAAAAACATCAGTAGAGATTCTTTACTAGAACACTACACTTACTTCTTTATGCCCTAGCTCTAATCAATTAGGATATGAAGGAGAATACTGGGCTAATCTTTAGATCTTTATAATAATAGGATTGGTTCTTCAGGGAGAAAGAATTTGCAAAGGCATTTCATAAAAACATTATTATAACCAATTTAGTCGCAGAGTTTCTAATAATTTGAAACAAATCTTTCGTAAAAATAGATCTTTTACTTTATATCTTGATCATTAAATAAGAGTTTTAATTCATAACATAATTTTTTATGTTTCTTCGTAAAATTTTTTTGACTGATATATATTGATAGTAATTGAGCTGACTATGGGTGTTCTTAAGTAGTTCTTTCGATGTGATTAACTAATCATGTATTATTATGATATAATCATGTGTTCCGCATTTTTATTGTCGCTCTGGCGAATTCCTGGTTCAGAGCTAGTTTCAATCAAAGAAATAAAGTGGCATGAGCTAATTAACCAACTTTGATTAGAGTACCAGTGCTAACTTCAAAGAACACTTTTTGTTTGTGCCAGTGCATAAATCAAAAAATAAGACCTCGGCTATCTATAGATAGGTCCGATCTAGTTAGTACTTGGCAAAATCAAGCAAAACTTGATAGTCAAATACTTGCGATTAAGTCAAATATTAAATAATCATAGATCAAATCAGTTAAGGTATGTACGTACATATATGTTGTGCCTCAAATCGATTCTTGGTACCTCAGATGTCGATCGTTAGGTGAGGTGCGTAACCTATCAATTGGTCACCATAGGTGACTTAGTTGATACCTGAGGCAAGCATATCGATAGGTATCGATACACAAACCAAATTTTTTTACGTTAAAGATGACTAGGATGGTGAAATAATATTACCAGTTCAGCAATCGTCAATCGGTGATGGTGTAATTGGTGAATCGGTATAAGTGAAATATGAAATGGTGAATAACGATAATGGTTAAAAAATACGTTTTGTAACATGGAAACTCTTATAAACCAAAAAAAAAAACTGTTCTGGTAATATAGAATGAATGCAAATCTATGATTGTAAGGAATACTGTATGCGGCTTTTCAGTAATTGATGGTATAATCATTTGAAGACATATATACTATTACCAACTTTTATACACTATTTCGCCAATTCCACCATTTTACCAATTTCACCAATTTTATCAAATTCATCATTTCATCAAATTATTTTGGTGAAATTATTTCACAATTCCACTAACATCTTTAGTCACAAGATCAGGTGTAATATGACATATTTAAAAGATAAATAGCATAAACTGTCTAGAAAATGTTCTTTATGTTCTAATAAAAAAAATTATGATTACTCGAATATATCAAATGTATGATCCTGACAAGATATTTCGTAAAGATTTTCAACTTAAAATGGCTATGTATAGAACAGATTCCATCTGACACGAAGGAGGTTTTGATTCTATTTTCTACAATCTAGCTGGATAACATATGAAGAATTGATAATAATTATTGTAATTATGGGTAAAGTTGTTGAACATTTCACTTGAGATCTTAAGAAAACACAATTTTTGGAAGTCGAGCTATTTCTGATTTTTATTGTATAACTTATTAAACACATGAAACTAATTCATTACAAATTTGTAAAGTTTATCAAGCCTAATACTTACTAATGCAATTTATTAATATTTGTAGATTCGTCTTGTTATAAAAATTTGAATTCGTTATATTGTCAATACCGGTTCTTTATTACCAGAATATGTGCTTTATTTCAACATCTGTAATTTGTATAAAGTATTAAACAATAATTTCATGTCTCAAATATTGAATAAATAATAACCGAGGTACCTCAGATAACGATTAAGGCATCTTGGGCCAAGTTACGCACCTCATTCTAACGATCAATATCAGGGGTACCCATCAGATAAAGATATTTGGTTCATAGATGAGCATAAAAATTATTTAAGTTGCATTTAACTCATTAAATAACTAATAATACAATTAAGCAGTAGTTCTCAGTTAAAAAACATAGACATTACTAAGTATCATGATCGAAACTTATGTTGTGCCGATCCACTATAATGAAAAGTAATTTTCTTTACTAAAGTAAACCGTCTTTTGAATCTTTAACTAAAATTGTAGAACGATTCTAATAATAATAAAAATTATTAAAATCGATTGTGTAAATCACAAGATATTAAGATTATTTTTTTTTACTAAATGATTTTTTCTTATTGTCATAAGTGTTTGGCATTCTATCACTATGAAAATTATATAGTAAAATCGGGCAAGGAAAATTTTTTGTTAAAGCACTAAAGATGGCAGATTTTTGATCGACAAAACCTGGCACAGAATCCATGCGAACAATTAAATTATTAATTAATTAAATAAAACTTTTCAACTTATTTAATCGATTATTTATTAATTAAATTATTTTACAAATTGAAAATTTTATATAAACTTCTTTAATCATATATGTAAATTAAACTATTAACTCGTGAGTATACTTGGAATAATCTATAGTTAATACAAATTCTCTAATCAATCATATATCAATTAAATCGTTAGTTGATACGTAGGTATAAAATTAATTTATAAATTAAAATTTTATAACAATTCATGACCAAATAATTCTTTTTTAATCAATCAAATTATTAGCATATATTTATTATCTTTCTGTCAACATTATTTTATTATCTTTTTGTGAACTTTATTGTAATCATATTTTGTAAAATTCAAGCTTCTGTAAAAAGACTAAGGAAATATAATACTGAAAATCGACACACATACTGTATATCCTAATACGTTAAGATAATCGCACATAACTAAACAAAATAAAATAAAAAAATGAAATAAAATAAACTAAAAAAAAAAGATCACTTTCTCAAAACTTTCCATACAAATAACCGAGAAAAAAAAGCGTGACTATTGCATTAATAAAATTTTGTTAAGAATTAATAATAATTAAACAAAGATGACAAAATAACTAATAAATTTGAATCATACTTACGATATTATACCCTAATCTTTTTAGCTTCAAGTTTAAATGGTTACCCGTTATTACTTGAATAAACTATATATATTAAAAGAATTTAATACTCGAACCACATTAATTCTACTTGTCATAAAAACTAGTTTGATATATGATATCATTGACTATATGCAACCACATTATTTCCTGTCGCTTATAATTTAAATCCTAATTTGCTTAATATCAGGAAAACGTAAATATTTACAGGCGACAAATTAAATCTAATTACTAAAGATTTTTACACACTTAATACATCATCTAAACTTGACATATAAGTCGTTAATGTGCACACAGATGACAACAACCATTCAATTCAATCATTTCTGATGGCTACCCGAAAAAATAAATGTACCATCATAAACGATCTTCATCACCTATTATTAAACTATCAAGCAATATCAACAAATTCAGCAATATCCAAATTTCCATTTATTAAAGCTCTATAATATCCCAAATCGTTTAAGATTCAAGAGATTCAAGGGTTTCAGGAACAAACGTCAACAAGATTTCACTATTCAACTCAAGAAACATTGGATATTTTGAACGATTTGCTACTATAGTTTTATAACCATGACTATTCCTAATTTGTGAAAAATTATCAACAACATATCTCAAAAATCTTTTCTTCAAATCTGGCCATTTCCATGCATTTCCAAATAAGCTTTCCGCCGCAGTATTTATACTCATTCCTTCGAGAATCTTTAATTTTGCTTCCAACTCTAAATCTGCTATTAGGTATTTATTAGCAATTGTATAAAGGTTCCAAATATTTGGACAATTGTTAATATCCACTTGATCCGTATAAAGAAATAAAAGCATTTGAATAGCAGTTTGATAATCAAAATCCGGAATATCGATCGAATATTGATATCTTCGATTAGTCAAAGTTTTTGATGACGAATTTGACAAATCAGATTCAGTATTTGACGAGCCTCTATGATTGCTAGAAATAGTATCATCTTCGATCATGTGTTGTTCATCAATGATGGATTGATTACATTCTAACCATGATCCATTAAACATTCTTTGGAAATATTCCGAACGTTTTGCAAGAATTGAACTACTTGCAAAAATTGTTTGCCCTTGCACTGTAATTTTAACATCACCCGATCCAGGTTTTTGAAATTCATTCTTCCAAGCAGATATCAAAGTTCCAGGAATTGTTTTAATTGGAATTGGTTCATGGAATGATAATGTCCTAAAAAAATGATTTCCAAGTTGTGTACTCTTCAATCTAACTCCAATGATAAGATTATCGGTAAGCCTGGAACGTCTACAAAATTGTGCCATACCTGTTTTTGATAAATTATTTAATAATTAATATATATATTTTTATTAAATAAAATCTTTTAAAATTTTTTATTATACTTACGCAATCTACGAATTTTAACCGCTTTAAACTTAAATCTTGAAGACGTAGTCATTTCTTTGATGATTGATCCATCCGGTCGTTTCAAATACATTCTAGCAGGTAAACAATCATTTCTAGATTGATCATATTCATCCACTTCATCCATGTTACAAATTGCATGGAGGTAAACCGCACAATATTCGGGATCATTGGGTGATTCCTAATAAATAATATAGATATATATATTTAAATAAATCAAAGTAATTTAATTTGATATTTCAAGTCCCATTGAAACAATATTAAACGATTTCTATTACATAAGATAAAATATACTTCATAAACTATATAGGTGAATAAAAAATTATAAAGATGCTTACAAGTACAAATCCTAATTGCCAAAAGATATTTGGCATAGTTTCAAATCGTGGACTACATATTTTGCCTTGAATCTGATGAACATTTGTCAATTCAAATTCAAAAGAACTACGATTTCCAAATCCATCCACTGGATCGATCGTTACAGCTGAATTGCTGGAAAAAAAAATAAATAAATGCGTTCATTACTTTTGTTCATTTTTAATTGACGAATATTCTTTCAATCCCTAGAAATATGGTTTGTTTGTTTTTTTTTTTTTTACAGAGTTATTGACAAAGTAGTTTTCGTTTTTTCTTTCACACTTTTTTTTTCCTTTCTCTCCTCTCCTCCTAGCCTTAGCCCTAATCTTAGTGTTGTTTTAACCTGGGTAGACTATATGTAATCATCCCCGTTCAATTAAATTTTAAAGTAATATCCTTCAAGTGGGACTTGAACTCTTTACTAAACGAACCTGTTAGTTGTATTATGTTGCTGTTGTTGTCTCAACCGTCTTAAACCTATTGGCACTCGTCTCATGATAGAAAGGAATTAAATATCGTACATAGCAGTTAAAGAAATAGTCTTTCCTGATCTATTTATACTGTTGCGTCATCGGAAATTACTACGGCTGATCTATGTCACACAAGCCAAAATCATAATACAATATAAAATATATGGAAATAATATTATTAAAATAACTTAGTAATTTACAAAAATATGATTTTTGCTTTGGACAAAGGTTTGTAAAATCATTCATAATTGTTTTCTTTTTTTGAAATATATTACATACTGTATATTTGGAAATAAAAATTAAATACATAGTATCTTTCATATATCTTTCATGTATTAAAATTTTATAGAATCTCTATAGATATAGTACCCATTGAACTAGAAACATAACATTTTTAAAGAACTTTGAAATAATATACGTATTTTATATTTCATATCAGCATATATTTATTTAAAATTATGTTTGAAACATTGTTTAAAAAAAAATATTGCAGAAAGAGATATAACTTTTTATATATAAACTAATTCGTGAACTCTTAATTTATGCTCTTTTAAATGTATAAATATCGATATGGTGCTTATATAGAAATCAAAAATTGTAACTATTCAATGAGCATTTGGAAATTCATAACTTTATAGTTTTAAATAAGGTCTACATAGTTATGCTTTCTTTTTGGATAATTTCCACTTATCCGATAGCTTACTATGATCGGACTAATCAGAATAACTCGAGTTATTTTTATGGTAATTACGTTTCATCAAATAATTTTGTAATTACCATCAAAACAACTCGAGTTATTCCGATGGTCTAGTCGTTGTAAGTTATCGGATAATACCGTTATTGAATGCTAAGCTTGGACCCAGAAGCTGGCACATTAAATTTAAAACCAGATAATAGAGTATTTTTACAAATAACTATATATTCGTTGAAAAGATGCGATAAGATGATTTGCATCATAACAAATCGATTGTTAGAAAATTTAATAGCTAATAATAATATGAAAAAGTTTAATTAATTCGTATTTCACTTTACATCAAAATGAAATTGTCAGAGGAATTTCATGATGCATATATACGGGTAACCCTCTATAAATCCTCTATAAATAACCTTGAACGATATCAATAAAATAATTTCGTATCATTAGAGTGCTCGAAAGAAAATCTGTAAGTAAACATTTATCCACTGAATAATTATACGTGATTAATCACATATACAATCAGTATTCTGGTTCTGAATAATTGTACGTGATTATTATACCGATAATATAAAATATCAGCACCAGATAATATCAAGAACACTAATTGTATATATCGTAATATATCGTATATGTGATTAATTACGTAATATCGCAATTCTACAAGTTTTCACTTTCGAGGTTAAAACTAAGACATGAAAGCTGTATTATGTTAATGTCATGTAAAGTATTCCAAGTCACGTAAAAAGTGTTGTAAATAAACATCTATTTTACTAATCAAAATAATTTTCAACTTACAACGATTGAAAAAAGTGGATAGTATTAATATAATTGCAATAATAAATTACATCAATAATAAATGTCTTTTTCAACTTGTTAAACAACAACTAGAATGACAACTAGAATGACAACTAGAAATAACAACTAAAAATAACAATTTTGGAAAAAAAAAATTGATAATGATAGAATTACAATTTTTTGTTTTTACATTCACAATTCTTCAATAATCCTTCCAATTCTTCGACTTTCTTCTTTAACATTTCATTTTCTTTAGTAATAAGATCTATTCTTTGTGTATTTTCAACTAATCTATGTTGTAATTCTGCATGTTCGCCCTAAGTATATGTATATATATATAACGTTTGTTAAAATGTCAAAAATTCATTATCTCATACCTATTACCTATTAGATTTAAAATAATAACAAAATATGATATTTACATGAATTGGAACAGATAATAATTCAAAATTCAATATTTGTTTAGCACTTGGTCTTTTATCTGGGTCTTCTGCCATCATCCACAAAATAAATGCCGTCTATAATTATAAAAAATTCAATATTATATAATTCATCCAAATTGTTACAAACCAAATTTTAAAATAAAAATAAATTTATTAACCTCTTTTGGAAACCGTTGAACAAAACCATTTGGTAATATTCCATGTCTTAAATCTTTTAGAACCTGAACACGTTCATGACCAGTGGAGAAAGGGAAATGAAGTTCAAAAAAAATTATGCCTAACGAGTATATATCAACCTTTTCATTATAAGGTATAGCAGGCTTCGCAAGTTGCTCAGGAGAAGCATACTATAAAAAATAAACGAAATTAGAAATTAGAAAATAGGGATTATAAAAATAGGAATTATAAAATAGGAATTAGAAATTAAAGGCGTCAATACGATAAGAAAAATTTCCGGTCAGTGCAACAGATAATTAATTTTTAATTTACCGTAACTGTACCAACACCAATAGTTCTTGATTTTGAATTCAAAGAAGAATTTGATTCATGATGATTGAGTGTTCGTTTATTAGAATTAAAATTTTTAACAAATGAAGAATCAGATTTGATAGAATTGTTCATAGAAGAATCAGTATTATCATCACCCACGGCAGTAACCAAACCAAAGTCACCAATTTTTGGTACTAAACGTTCAACATTAAATGAAGTATTATCAGTAGCAACCCAAATATCATCATCATGATTCGTATCAGGAATCATTCCAATGAAAATATTTCCGGGTTTAAGATCTCTATGAATTAACCCTTGTTCATGAATATAAGAAACCCCACGAATTATTCCACGAAACAATTCAATGCTAGCATGACGATCAACTGAATTTAAAGGATCTTTTTTTGAAGCCAATAAATTGACATCTCTACGTCTTAAATAATCTCTTAAAGTACTATGACATAATTGCATTTGAATAAAAAGAACCCAATCTCTTTCTAAAGCTGAAGAATCAGCATTGTTTTTTTCAGTAGATCGAGGATAAGACTTTGAAAGATTACTTGTAGAGTTATTATGATTCAATGATCGACCTCTGACACCAATGGCAGATGTAGAAGGTAATATTTCCTCATTAGAATTATCATCTTTAAAGTCAACACCGCTATAATTTTCTGATTTAATTTCATCATCATCAGAAAAAGACATTCTAAAAATATCAGAGTCATCATCATAATCAGCATCATTATTTTGAGATGAATCATTTGAGCTTAATGAGTCAGAGGTATTAGTTGACTGCGAAGATACAGGAACTTGAGAAGAATCAGTACGTTGTCTATTGTTAATGTGTTCCAACCAAGAACTGTAATAACGCACAACATTTGTATGTTCCAATCTAGCAAGGAATTTAATTTCACGAAAAATCTAAATTAAAATTAAATAAATTAAAAAAATTATTATAATATAAAAGATATATCCCGAAATTCTGAAGTAAATATAATAGATATATAACACACTTTTTCTTTATCTTTTGGTATATTATCGCCTCGTAAACTGATTTTTTTAATAGCATAATCTATGCCATCTAGCTTATTTTTTGCCTAAATTTACATATATTAAGTTTAATAGTAAATAAATAGATTATAAACCGGATTCCTAAAAAAAAAAAAAACGAACCTGCCAGACGCTAGCGAATCCACCTTTACCCAATAACTTTAATTCAATAAAGTCATTGTTGTATCTACTGTTTTCAAGATCGAGAATGTCAACAAAAGTCAAATTATTGAATGAGTGAAAATTGGAATAAAATTTCGATGACGGGGAGTGATATCTAAAAAAAATTATTATTAAAGATTAAGAATTTATTAAAATAAAAAATTATTGTAATAAAAAATATTGTAATAAAAAAATTATTATTGTAATAAAAATATTATTATTGTAATAAAAATATTATTGTAATAAAAAAATTATTATTGTAATAAAAAAAAGATTATTGAAATAAAAAATATTATTGTAATAAAAAGGTTATTATGAATAGAAACGTACTTGATCTCATCATGATTGGCAAGAGAAGATTTTCCGTTTTCAGGAATACCAGATACCGAAGTCGGAGGCATAATCATGTGAGATTCCAACATTAATTGTTCTTGTTTAATTGAATTCAATGCTTGAACGACCAAGGCTTTGAATGCACATTGATAGGAAGATCGAACGGTGGACATTTCATCGATGTACTTCATAAATTTTGAGACGCGTTAAATTTTTAAGAATTCTGCGAAAGTATTTAGGAATTGATTCATTGATATGAGTTTTACAGCATCCTATGGGCTATGATTACTAACCTCTTCCTCAATAATTCCCATAGCACTCAACATCTTGCAAATGACGAAAAACAATTTACGACTTCCTTCAGGATTTGTATCATATAATAAACAAAAGTTTTCCAGAAGAGAAACCAATAGCAAACGTCCTAAACGTAAAGTATAAAGTATAAAGTAAATAGTTAATTAGAACTTTAGATAATAAATAAATAAATAAATATTTTTATAATAACAAACCTTGACGTCGTTTACTTTCTAATATACTATCGTAATCACGAGCATTACGACGTGTAGCAACTTGTAAAGGACTTAAAAAAGGCTCATTGACATTCAAAGGTTGATCAGTTTCTACAAGAAAGAAGAATGGTTAAAAAAAAAAGATAAAATATTATTAAGAATTTTTAATAAAAATATTACCATCGAATTCATCGATTTCATTAAACACAAGAGACCCAACTTTTAAAGAAGAATCATCTAAAGAACCAGGAGTTTCAACAAATCCTCTAGAGCTTAATAAAAATTCTTCCTCACTTGTATATTCTTCCTCAATAGTTTCATCTTTTTTTCTTTTAGATGCATCATCAGAAGAATTTTCATCAGAACTTTGAGACCCAACAAAAAATTTGCTACTTCTAGTAGGGCTCTTGTCGTTTATAGACCGTGTGCTGGCAGTCATGGAAAGAAAGTTGTGATAGAGATCATGGTATTGTCTATTCTGGAAGGTACGATGACGTTATATTGTATTAAATCAATAAAAAAACGAATCGAGTAAATCGATATTTTCTCAACAATGCTAATGCAAAGTTTCAAAAGTTAGTTTTTGTTAATAAAAGAATAAATAAATAAAATAAAAAGGATGTAGTTTATGTAATATATACCTTGTATTATTATTAATATTAATATGATGAAAATAACTTTAATGACTTCGCAACGACAGAATTTTAAGATACGTTGATGAGAAGTCGTTCGGGTAGAGAAACACGTTAATGTTAATGAGCCTATTTTTATACTTGATATGCAATAATGATCATGTCGAATGATGATTGGACATAATAATAAAAGTGGTCACGCTGGTCACGCTGGTCACGCTGGTCACGCGTGCGTTTTATGATTTTATGCGCTTGATTGTACGCATACGTATACGTACGTATATACTTAACCGTTAACTGTTATAAGTACATACCTGATATTGTACCGTACGTACAGTACCCATCGTTATCGACAATATCGCCACTTTTGGCGTTAGCATCGGTATTGATTTTTTCCAAGTTCGCTAATCGGAGTGCCAAGATGGTTAATAAATAAATACGGAATAAGATACCGATACGGATTTAATAAAAATTTTTTTTATGGTTTTTTTATATATCCTGAATTTATTACGTACGTATAAAGGGATTTGGGATTCTTCTAGAATAAAAAAATTTAAGTGCATGAGAGTGAAAACCTGCAAACCAATCATAGTGAATCATTAAATCGGTTTCCTCTCACGCACTTATTTCATATTGATATTTTATATAGTACTAAATATACGATATACAGTACGTACGTATACGTAAAAAATGTAAATTTTATCACATCTACAAAAGCCAATTGCGAATTGAGACTAATAAATATATATTACGTATACAGAGTAGTTTAAATACTATTATCACGAGTATTGATTGTATTTTATAGGTTTAACTTTTATAACACCGACATATTAGAAATTAAATTTACCAAGTAAAAAGGCTTATAAGCTTATATTAAATAATAACAGATAATTAGACACATGATTAAAGATTTCACTTTTTACCAAAAAAAATCTCAACGAGAATGTAAAAGATTATAAACTTCTTCCCATGACCATATCGTTATATCACAAATTTGTCTGCAAAAACATAGCATAATAAGGCAATTAAAATACGCACGTATATACGTATGTTAACTAATACATTAAAATAATTGACTGATTATCGTTATCCGAATATGATGATAACAAGTTCAATCGTTAGGCTTTCGGTTAGTTGGAGTTCAATTTCCGATAGTACTATTTAGTTCTTAACAGGTTAAAAGACAAATAGTACCGTCGGAATTGATAAAAACTAGAAGCTTCTACAAGTCTCAGGTATTTTATGCTCATCATAACGATAATACTTTGAGTTTTTAACACAAGAACACAAATAAGAAAATGTGTCTAAATAATTCAGACAAAATTTAGCATTAACGTTATTCAAAGGTCGAATTCTGGATTTCTATTAATACAGTCGACCCCCGTTAATATCAACCTTGTTAATACAGTCGACCCCCGTTAATATCAACCTTGTTAATATCAACCTAAGCCACAAATCAAATTTTTATAAATTTTTATATATCAAAATTCCCTCATATATATCAACTTTAATATAATCTCTCGTTAATATCACTATCAACATAATTTAAAACCAATCCAAATGGGTTGATATAAACGAGGGTAGACTGTATTAGGAAGTAAAAAAAAAAAAATGCATTTTTTTTCGCTTATTACATGTCTTTGCTGCTGCAACTTTTCAGGACGAATACATAACATATTCTGAGTCGTGACTAAGTAATCTATATCGTTTTATCGTTACTGTTATTAAAAATAAAATATTTTACTCAAATTTTAGAAGCTCGTTTATAACCTTTCAATATTAAAGAATTTTTATATTCAAACAAGTGTTTCAGTGAAAATGTTTGTACTCTTGTTGAATGTAAATAACAACGATTATTGCCATTACCGTAACCGTAATTTGTCACTCAAAATCAGAAGAAATGAGGATAACGATAATTTGGATATCGCTAATACTAACTGGCATTTTATTGACGTTAACCACTGTCACTACCACTACTGAATCGAATTTGCATGAATTAAAATGAATGAACCTTGTCTCGTGATAGATCAATTAACATTAGTGCTTGCTTGGCTAAATTTCTTATGATGTACCAGTACTGTACGTACTTAAATTCTTTTTTTTTTTACTATACTAGTACATGTACACATATAATTTGGAATGTTTACTTGGGTTTTTTCTTAGCCTATTTTGTAATACTATTTAACGAAACATATAAAGATTGATTGATTTCTTTGGAAAAAATGGTTGCAATTATTTATATTACTGTAACAAACATGGTCTCTGTTTTTGGAATTTTTAAAAAAATGGTTTAAATGAACTGAAATCATGTTTTTTATGAATTTGAATATGAGCTTTAATTAAATTTCACATTGTGAAAGAATTAGACATACGGTCCTTTCTTGAATTTTTTAATACTTTTTTTTTTTTTTTTGTCATTCTTTTTTTATACAATTAAAAAAAAAAAAAAATCCTATCTACCTGTAAATAGATACTTTATAAAAACAAACTAAAGAGTTCAAATAATTAATACAAATTAATATACCTTACCCTTTTTTTATGGAGCGAATGATACTTTAGAAATCCTTTCATTCTCTCAAATCACTAAAAATGACCTTTAATCAAATCAAATTCTTATTATTTACTTTTCTTTACATAATCACAAAGATAAGTACTACCTTCGGCCAAGCAACTTCTGCTGCCGTTCAAGCATCCCCTAATATCGTTCAAGCATCCCCTAGTATCGGTCAAACGACTCCTAGTGCTATCGTTCAAGTGACTCCCAGTAAATCAAGTACTACTCCTAGTCCAATTGCTACAGGTGACATTAGCACATGCACTACTTGTGATAAAGTAAAAGTTGCTTGTGGCTCAAAGTTTAGTCTTCCTCGAGTATACTCTCAAGGCACTTATATCGCTACAGGTAAACATATGCATTTTTTAAACCTTTTTGTCTATTTAATTAACTCACTTCTCACTTGTATATTTTTGATAGATAAATGCTATTGTAGTAATGATGTGTATAGTAATTTGTCTCAATGTTTGATCTGCTGTAATAGTGTAAATGTGGGAAATAGCTCTTTGGATAGTATTGACCATTGGAAAGATAGTTGCATTTCCCTAGGTTCTCCATTCATCCAAAATAATGCGACCCAATCTCCCTCAAACAATACTGTTGACCTATCACCAAATAATAATAATATTAATAATGCTAATAGCAATACTTCATCGGATTCTGATGATGATACAAAACGTATAATAGGCATTGTAGGATGTTCGGTTCTTTTGCTCTTGCTTGTTATAGGCATTATGATTATCGTCAGAAGATATCGCAAAACGAGAAAAATTGGTGACTTTCCTAATATATCTAAGCCCACAAAAACAAAATCACTAGATCTATTTGACAATTACAATCGTGAATCAAGATATTCTAATCGTAGTGTTAATAAATCCAAAGAAAATGATATAAACCAAAATGACGTCGGTATGATCGATATGGTCGATATCAACTTAAATGATCAACAACAACAACCGACTTCTAACTCTAATCATACTAACAACGAGGTTCCCCAAGAAATTCCCCAAGAAATTCCCCAAGAATTTGTTCAAGGATTTATTCATTTCGATGATAATGATGGTAACGATAATGACTACCTTCACGATGATCATGAATCTATTGGACAAGCGATAATCCCTATGGCCGTAGTCCCTGAAATGATTAACATAATCCCTGAAGTTCATATACTTGATGAAGCTTCCAATATCAATTTTAATAATAACTTCAATGATAACTTCAGTGATAACTTCAATGGCAATCAATATTATTACTCTAGTGAACAACATCCAAATCCATATCCACATCCATATGTGTAATAACATTAAACGAAAGTGAAGGTGGATATTATCACTAACCTTCATTTTTTTTTTCTTTTATCCCGCATTGATAGAAAAATTATGCTGTTTCTAAATCACATGTTAGATTTTTATTTACATATACATATTTATTTTATATATTTATTAAAAAAAATATTCATAATTCGGAAATTATATGCGGATATTTGATGTTTTGTAGAAACTAATAATTTCATACATTTATCTTCTTTTTTTTTTTGTTTTCTATTTTAATCCTATTTTAATGATAATCCTTTTTTTTTCTTATTTAAATGCATGATTGTTAAAAAAAAAATTTAAATATGTATTGATAGTTGCATATTATATTTCTTTTTTCAAGGTTATATCAATATTATCTATTGCTTTTAATCTTGTAAAACAATCTCAAGAAATTTGTCCATGTGGTAATGGCAAATTGCCCTTATTATGTAAATGTTTTGTAATATCGTAGAGTTTATATATTCTGCAAAACACGGTATATATTTTTTTGATGCACAATAAATTCTAATAAATTTTTTTTTATCTAGCAATTAAATAATTTATTGGATATTGGTGTTAAATGACTATAAAGTTTCTTTCGGGATATCATACAAACTATATCCTATACATT